AAAAAAAAAAAAAAAAGTTGCATGCTGTACTGACTGAGCCAGCTAGGCACCCCAGATATACTTACGATTAAATGAAAGCTTGTGAGTTAATGAATGAACATAGGAATAAGGGAATCTGAACCAAAGAGCCCTAAAATCTTTGTGTTACTCAGCTAGAACCACGTGAAATTGCCCAACTTCAATTGACATACAAAAAACGGCCACTTCATACAGTTTTCAGGGTGATGGAGTAACAAAAAATGTCATGTGCAGACCCGAATGCTAATTAATCTTAAATGTGAGATACATCCTCTTGGTGACTAGATTGTCTGTATTCCTGACAGTTCCTTCTCATATTTTTTTTTTTTTAATTTTTTTTTTTCAACGTTTATTTATTTTTGGGACAGAGAGAGACAGAGCATGAACGGGCGAGGGGCAGAGAGAGAGGGAGACACAGAATCGGAAACAGGCTCCAGGCTCCGAGCCATCGGCCCAGAGCCTGACGCGGGGCTCGAACTCACGGACCGCGAGATCGTGACCTGGCTGAAGTCGGACGCTTAACCGACTGCGCCACCCAGGCGCCCCTCCTTCTCATATTTTAAGTTCGTACTAGTATCTGCAGTTTGTAATTCTTACCTGTTGTGACGATTTTTTTTTTTTTTTTTTTTTTTTTTTTTTTTTTTTTTGAGAGCAAGTGAGCAGGGGAAGGGCAGGGGTGAGAGAGGAAGAATCATAAGCAGGCTCCACACCCAGCTCAATTTTAGGTTTGTAGTGCAGTGCGTTCTTTAAGGGAAAACAAAGAGCATGTGATTGTTAACTTTATTTTTCTGATTATATCTTCTATCAAATTGGTACAACTTACAAATAACCTGGTACCTTTAGCTCTGAAAGATCTAGAACTGTCCTTTAACTGATAATGAGCAACAAATGCTTGTTCCCAACAGGCTCTGATGGGTGTGTATATGAAACCTTGATACCAATACATCCGAGGGACCCAGACGAAAATCAGAGGGTAGTCAGATCGCTATTGCTCAAGACTGTGGTGGCCGGTAATGCTCGAAGTGGTGTTGCACTCACCGTCCTGGATCAGGATCATGTAGCAGTCCTAGGACCGCCGCTGCCAGCTTCCAAGGGTGACTGGATGTGATCACTTAAGAAGTCCTTTGGGTTTTTCCTTCAACGTGTGCCTCTTTTTCTTCTTTTTCTTTTGTATTTATTACCACCCATTCATTTTCTTTATCATCGTACTCAAATTATTTTTGTAGCTTCCTAACTCTTCTTGAATAGGTCTTTGATTTTATCTTAACGTTAATCTTTTTCTTCCCCCCAGGTTATTTATTTATTTATTTATTTTTTTGGTCATCTCTATGCCCCACGTGGGGCTGAAACTCAGCGACCCTGAGATTAAGGGTCACATACTTTCCTGAGACAACCAGGTGCTTCATCTTTTTAAAAAACATTTCCTTATATCATTACCTTGCTCATGACTAATGTCTTAAAGAAATAAATACTGCAAATATCTGTACCAGCCCATGGGCATTTGATCATTGGTAAGCCTTACAGTAGAGAATTAAATTCATAGCCTGGTGGCATTTCAGCAGAATGGAAGTCCACACGACCTGGATGACTTGAAATTCAGGGTCTACTAGAATGCTTTTCCATCTGTGACTTCAGAGCATGATTTTCATTTGCACCTCCCCTAGCCCCCAAACACCCCTCCACACAACACAGACTTGTAGTCTATCACGAAGAACACATTTGTTCCTGACCAGTGCTAGATTGGGATCTCTTAGGCAACACTATAAAACTCAAGAGTCTTTTGTTTGGTATTCAGGTCTCTTACAGTCTAGACCTCACCCACCTTTTCCGGTCTCTTTTCCCAGTTGCAGAGCAATAACCCTTTGATTTATTCAGTCCAGGCTTCCTATTGACTGTACGCGTCATCTGCCTGTGCTCTCATCTGTCTGTGCTCGTCTGTGGTTCTTTGTTTCTCCTGCTTATTGAGATAGAAGCTACTAGATACAGCGTAGCTATCCTGGGCCAGGCATTTTACTTGTGTTATCGCTTTGCATTATTTAATCTTCCAACAGTGCCAGGAGAGAAGGTAGTTACTAATAGCATTCCTGTTTTACAGACCAGGAAACAAGTGTTAGAGGATTCAGTAGAGCGGGGATTCAGCCCAAGCAGATTGCCTCTTCGGTCACGGACCTTACTTTTCTCAAGTCCTGGCGCCCCGCCACTTTACCGCCCCGTGCTGTTCCTCTCCCCCACCATCATCCCTCTTTCTGGTTCTGCTCTACCCCCCGAAACCTGGTAACCACCGTTAGAGCTTCCATCGTCTCTTTCCAGAGGGTTTTTATATGCATGCAAGCAAATACTACTGCTTATTTTTTTTCCTCTTCTTTTTCCATGAATGGTAGCATACCATACATGCTGCTGTGCACCTTGTTTATTCACTTACCTGAGAGATCAAAGAGCCCTTTCCATATTAACATTTGTCATTATTATTACTGTTAGTATTATTAGCTTTCTTTTATTAGAACAGTTTAAGGTTCACAGCAAAATTGAGGGGAAGATACATAGATCTCCCATATGCCCCCTGCCCTCACACATGTCCACTTGTCATGAGATCTCATTTCCTTGAATTTCTGTGGTACTCACTGTCTTTGTGACTTCTTTTTATACTGAATGAAGCAAGACTTGTGTGTTTAGCTGTGACTCTCCCCAGTCTCCCCACTTCCCCCTGCCCTCAGCATCACATATTTACATGTGGCACGACGTCTGAATTTGTATATCTTATTTTACAGAATGCCTTTCCATATGGAACACGAAATTTCAAACACTACAGACTTCCAGAGAGTTACCACAGGGGACCAGCGGTCAAGTAAGTTTTTGTCCTTGACTCTTTTCAAATTTAGTACTTTTGTGCATGATAAATACACTGTAAAGGAAGAGACTTCCGATCTAAATAATTTGGCAGTTTTTGTTTTGAGAGAAAGTGCGTGTGAGCCCACGTGAGCCGGGGGCAGAGGGAGAGTGAGAGAGAGAATGTTA